GTTTGAATAATAACTTTGATGTTTACTATTTATTCAAAAGATTCGTTATGGTCAGCATAGTTACAGCATTAGACCTCACTTATTTCAGGGCAAGAAAAGAGACTCAATACTAGCATCCGCTTAAGGCTGATCCCTGTGAGAGCGAGGTCAGGCATATCCTTCCCTCTACAACCTTCATATCAATTCTGACACCAGCCATCCAGCCCGTACATTTTCCACTTAGCTGCTAGATTAGATAATTCACTTCAATAATCACACAGAACTCAGAGAACTTATTCATGATTACAGTGTTTATTGTCATAGCTCAGGATCAAGATCAACTGAGAACTCAAAGGAACAACACAAGTACAATGGTTTGAGCAGGGCAGCTTCCTTTGGGCTCAGAGGCACTCTTCTCTGCCAGTGTCTTCTTCTGGGGATTGCTCAGCCAACTAGGCATCTGCCAGTCCCGTGCCTCTGCTGTTTAGTGCTGCTGATGTCTCCAGTTTTGCCATTGCCTAGTGTTACAGCTCAGCCTCCTGGGTCAGGCAGGTTCTCAGCACAGGGACCTCAGGCCCAAAGGATGTTTCTTCTTGAAAATAGTGAGGTCCTCCTTCAACTTCTGGGATCAGTTCTTTTCAAGCCTAGTGGGATGGCAAACTGACCAATTCTCAGTAAAAGTTCTGTATCTTATTTGCATTAGCAACACCCATTAGGGCTCCATGCATCTCATTTGCATTAGCAGACTATCCAATCCCCACAAGGGCTCTGCACACCTCCTTTGTATAATCCCAGCAAGTCATTTATTTCATGGAACTTACAAGACCTTAACTAGAAAGGTAATCCATTACACTGCACAATCACTCAGCAGTGTCAAATATCACGTCCTTTGTTCAAATCCCAACCCTGGCACTACCTGTGTGACCCCAGGCAGGTTAATGAGCTTGTCCTGCAGAACTAAGTCATATCACACACCCTCTCAGACATCTCCTTGCCCTAGTCTGGTTGGCCTGTTGGAAGACCCTTTCTTGGGCTGTACCTTGAAACCTGGCACACCAATAATGCAAGGTTGAAATACTCAGTCAATGGTTTTAGGAAACCAGAAGACATTTTATATAATGCAAATAAGGAGACAGGCAATTCTACTCTTTAACTTATATTACAAACATTATATATTTCTACTACAGTCAAAAATTATCATTTAAAAATTCAGAAATAACATTCTAGACTGGAAAATCTGTAACAGTTCTCCATAATAGAAAATATAAGCTTTATAAAACTATTTTCAGATATTTCACTTTGTTTCATGATTTTTCAGTTTGTAACTGTAGTTGAAATTAATTTTGTTTTAAACCAAAGAAGGGAAAGAGCCTTTAAATAAAAATGATATCCTTTGATTTTTAAATTTTAGTTTGACAAAATATCAGAGTCCATTTAAACAAATATTAAAGATCAGAAGAGTCATCCAAACACATTGGTTTTATTAAATATAAAACAGCCATGAAGCCACTGTCATTGAGTTGATTCCAACTCAAAGTGACCTTCTGGGACAGAGCAGAACTGCTCCCTCGGCTCTCTGAGACTAAATCTTCACAGGAGCAGACAGCTTCATTTTTCTCTGATAGAGCAGCAAGTGGGTTTGAAAAGCACACTTATGGTTAGCAGTGCAGTGCTTAACTCGCTCCACCACAGGGCACCAAAGCTATAGTATGTATATGCATACATACAAACACCACACACACATACATATATAGGTTATGGAGTCCTGGCGTGGCACTGTAGGATAAGCATTGTACCATAAGGTCGATTTGAACCACAAGGTCAGCAGTTCAAACTCCTCAGTCACTCCTCAGAAACCCTATATAGGGTTGCTATGACTCAGAACCAACTCTACAGCATTTAACCAACCAAATTACATATAGATAGACAGACAGACAGACAGACAGACAGATAGAAATAGAAAGATATGTATGTATCCCTCGTTATATGTCCACCATGATAAGAGCATGCTTGATGGAGGATGTGGAGCGAGGGATATCACTGCTGACATTACATGGATCTTGGTTAAAAGCAGAGAATTTTTTTTTTTTTTTTTAACCCATGCTTTATTGACTACGTAAAGGCTTTCCATTGTGTGGATCATAACATGCTATGGACAACACTGCAAAGTATAAGTATTCCAGAACACTTAATTGTGCTCATGAAGCACTTGTTCATAGAACAAGAGGCAGTTATTCTAACAGAACAAATTAGGAAAGGCTTATGCCAGGGTTGTATTCTTTCACCATACTTATTGAATCTGTGTGCTGAGCTAATAATCCGAGAAGCTTGATGTGAAGAAAAACATGGCATCAGGATTGGAGGAAGACTCATTAACAACCTGTGACATGCAGATGATACAACCTTGCTTGAAGAAAGTGAAGAGGACTTAAAATACTTACTAATGAAGATCAAAGACCACAGCCTTTGGTATAGGTTGCATTTCATTGTAAATAAAACAAAAATCCTCACCACTAGACCAATAAAGAGCACCCATATAAATGGAGAAGAGATTGAAGTTGCAAAGATTTCATTTTGCTCAGATCAACCATTAACACTCACGGAAGCAGCAGTCAAGAAATCAAACGATGTATTGCATGACGCAAATCTGCCACACAAGACCTTTTTAAAGTGTTGAAGAGCAGAGATGTCAGTTTGAAAACTAAGGACTAAGTTTGTGCACCTGACCCAAGCCATGGTATTTTCAATAACCTCATATGCATGCAAAAGCTGGACAGTGAATAAGGAAGACCATAGAAGAAGTGATGCTTTTGAGTTATGGTGTTGTAAGAGAATATTGAAAGTGCCATGGGCTGCCAAAAGAACCAACAGATCTGTGTTGGAAGAAGTACAGCCAGAGTGCTTGTTGGAAGCCAGGATGGCCAAACTTCATCTCTCATACTTTGGACATATTATCAGGAGGGAGCAGTCACTGAAGAAGGAGACCATGTTTGGTAAAGTGGAGGGTCAGAGGAAAAGAAGAAGACCCCCAACACCTGTATTGGCATAGTAGCGGCAGTGATGGGCTCAGGCGCAGCAAGGATTGTGAGGTTGGCCCGGGACCAGGCAGAGTTTCGTTCTGTTGGACATAGTTCGCTATGAGGTGGTACCTACTCAATGGCACCTAACAACAACAACATATATATAGTGTTATTCATATACATATACATATGGAGTACTTGTGTGGTGCTGTGGGTTAATGCACTGGACAAGTGGTTTGAACTGCAAGGTCGGCAGTTCAAGCTCACCAGCTGCTCCTCAGAAACCTTATACAGGGTCGCTATGGGTCAGAACCGCCTCGACGGCAGTTAACAACAACATTGTTAAGCGCAGTCGAGGTGGTTCTGACCCACAGTGACCCTGCACAGGGTTTCTGAGGCTGTAAATCTTTACAGGAGCAGAAAGCCTCATCATTCTCCCACAGAACTGTTGGCAGTTTCGAACTACTGATCTTGAGATTAGCAACCCAATTCGTAACCACTATACTACCAGAGCTGTGTATGTATATGTATATATGTGTGTGTACATATACACACATACATATATATGTAGTTGTTGTTAGGTACCATCGAGTTGGTAAGGACTCATAGGGCCTTATACACAGCAGAATGAAACACTGCCTGATATATGTTATTTGTTGTTGTTGTTAAGTGCTGTCAACTTGGGTTCCGACCCATAGCGACCCTGTATAGGGTTCCCTAGGAGCAGCTGGTGAGCTTGAACCGCCGACCTTGCAGTTCAAACAGCTTTGCAGTCTGGCGCATTAACCCACAACGCCACACCAGAACCCCATGCCGCAGGTTCCATCTTGTGTATTTTATCCTAAACAAATGCTTTAAGTTTCTATTTTGTCACATGATATTAAAATAACATTTAAGATATCTGGAATTTAATCATAATAAGAAAGATGACAGAGTATGCTTGATGGAGAATGAGAAAGTCTGTCTCTCCGTACCTGAACCACCTTTGATAAATAAGCAGCAAGATGGTCTCATGGCTTAATGCAGATGCTAGCCATATAAGTTTTGCTTGTTTAGAAGTGATGTCACTAAAGAAAAATATCTTGATATCCTTTCTAGAATGATAGATCCAATACAGCAGGAGAAAAGTAATTATATGTCCCCAAGTGACCCCAGTTTAGAAGTGAGAAGAGCTGCGATATGAGTAGCTTGGACTAGCTCCTGTGCATCCACAAGGGACCAGTTCTCGAGACACTGGGAAGAAAAATAACTCTAGAGTATGAGCTGGACAATCGCTTCAACACTGGGCCTCTGAGACACGCCACAACACTATGAAACACCATAGTGTTCCCAGTAGACAAAAGGCCCATCCTTTCCATGATCAGAGTCTATGAGTAAGAGCAAGGATTGACGAGTGCGGTCAGTCTACGTATTAGAGCTTCAGGCAGGAAGAAAACTACCCGTCACAACAACATGCTACCCAGGAGACTGCTGTTACTGTTAGTGCCACTGAGTTGGTTCCAACTCATAGAGACCCAATAAAGCGTTTCCAAGGAGCAGCTGGTGGGTTTGAACCACTGACCTTTCATTTAGCAGTCCAGTGCTTATCCTATAGCACTACACCAGGAAACAGTTCCCTAATAAAACAATACAAGTAGCATGCACACCAGACATCCTCTTACAAATTCTGATTCTCCACCAGATCTAAATAATGAGATTTTCACAACTTCACTGATAAAAATGAGTATTTAAAGTCTGGATAAATAAGCTCCAACTTCTCCCTCCCCCCAAATATCTTAAAAACAAAACAAAACAGACATAAGAATAAACAAGAAGTATGAAATATGTGTTTATCCTTTGTTTCATTCAAGTTTTAGTTAAGATATGAAAAGAGCAATCAGTAAAGTGTGTATGACTTGTACTACTGTGAGGACTGAGACACATCACTTGGAACATATGAACCTGTCACCCCGTCCCATCATGACAAAGCTCTTGGAGCTCCTGAGTCTGGAAAAGCTGGTGTTACGACAATGCTGGAATGAAATATTGAAGTGACACATCTTCAAGAAGCAAATCAAAATGAACAATCCTGTTATTCACAATATCTGGGGAGAAAGAAAAAACAACAATGCTATTTTTAAGGACCTATAGCAGCACACACCTTTTTACTGATGCATATTAACATCACTTTCCACACCACAATTCCTTTGTTAAAGACGTTCCGTTTTCTAGAGCACCTAGGCCTTCCAAGGTAAAGTGGTTAAGTCTGCAGTCTCTCTGTCCTCCAACATTATCTTATAGGCGGTGCTTCACATTGGACTTAGGGCAAGCTGCTCACCACAGCAGGTTATGAAAGAGGAGTGAAGGCACTAGTGTCCAAAACAAATTCTGATTTCCTAGCCACCACATTTATCTGATTCAAGGTGCTTCCAGGAAAAATCCTCTTGCCACTAGTGTGAATAATTAGAATTCCCATGCTTTCACATAATACGTGGGGCAGGCTAAGCCACACACTGGCAGGAGAGCAGCATTTTAATTGGCCAGTCCATTATTTCAATTATCTGCAAAATGCTATGAAGACCTATGGTCAGTCACTGTGCTTGGCAGGGACAGCATATGGGACATCAGGTCATCACTGGTGACCATGTGCTCAATTTAGAAGGTACTGCACAAAAGTTGTAATTTCAAATGTAAACCATAGTTTCTCTTAAGTTGCTGTGACTTTAGTAGCAAGAAGACAAAAGAAGCCTTGCAAAGCTGTTGGCAAGCAACGTCTTTCTCAGTTGTGGTCAGTGAATGAGGAGTGCTCCAGCAATGTGTTATCTGAGGGGTAAGTGATAAACCAGACCCGTGCATGCCCCCCTAGGAGGAAGAGCAAACAGCAAGATCTGAGACAATAAGCCCAGAGCACGTTTCAGAAACAGAAAGAAAATAAGACATCACATCACAACTAGAAACCTAAATCCATACAAAATCCTCACAAGTATTCAGTGAAACTACATTGGTGGTGGTGAGAGTTGCATACCATGGAGTCAGTTTCATTTTAACCCTGCCTAGGGTTTCGGAGGCTGTCAATCTTGACAGGAGCAGAAAGCCTCATCTTTCTCCCATGGAACTGCTGATAGATTTGAACTGCTGACCTTGCAGTTAGCAGCCCAGCTTATAATTCACTACGCTAGCTGGTATCAGTACATGTTCTCTGACAATGTGTCTCCAGGCGCAGACCTGATTCATGACAGTCTGTGAAGACCGCCAGCTCAGCTCATCGACCTCAGTGCTGAGATGGGCCACAGTGAGGCCACAGATTGTCAGGAACAGTATCAGGAATTGTTTCTCTGCTCCAGGCATTTCACCTTCTACTTTCTCCTGAACAAGGAACAACTTCAGTGTCCTAGAAAATTGGAGTTTCTATAACTGAGATTCTACCCCCCACCCCAATTTACAAGACTGCATACAAGCTGTCAGAGTTGATTATAGTATTTGAAATACAAAAAATAAAACAAAAATGAAGACTCACTGCACAAGGCCTTTGTTGGATTTACTTGTTGTCCAGCAAGGAACTGTAGGAGCTTCTTAATATCTATGCATACCTCTGCCATCTGTTCCACGTTTCTGCCTTGAGAAGCACTATCAGAGACTAAAAATCACAGACATTAAAAATACATCACCATCAGATGGATCAGGGAACCAAGATGACTTAACAACTCTTTACTTAAATGATTTACATTTTTCACAGTTTAGCATCCTGTACTTGTCCAAAGAGTCACTTAGAAAGCCAGCATTTCTGCATCCTAACTATATCAAGTACTGTGCTTATCTCAAAGAAAAATTTACATACAGTACTTTAAGATACAAGCCAAGTTCCCTATTCAGGAGAAAAGAAAATCATCCTTATTAGTTGTTGTTGTTGTTGTTAAGTGCCGTCGAGTCGGGTCCGACCCATAGCGACCCTGTACAGGGTTTCCGAGG